AAAAAAAAAAAAAAAAAAAAAAAAAAAAAAATGTAGGCGGGGACAGGCGAGAGGAGGGCATGGGGTACTTCCGAGCATCTCAGGGACCCTGGTGAGAGAAATGGGGGATGAGGTGGGGGAAGGGAACGGTGTGATACAGCCTCACTTTTCTCCTTCCTGCCTCCCCTCATCTAACTGGCCTGCAGAGCCCCCCTCCAGTCTCCACTCCCCTGGCAACCAGAGGAGCCAGAAGGAACTGTTGGGGGTTGGGGGAGCGCTGTCAGCTGGGAGCTGCTCCGCCAAAGTGTCCTGACCGCTGGCCCCTGTTGGTCCCTGGAGCCGCCTAAACCAGGAGCCCTGACCTGCCTTCCTTGGCTTGGAGCAATTAATGCCAACACCCTCTTCCCTTATTAACAGTCCTCCCCCAGACGTTCATTCTGCTGCTCGCCCTCTTTATTAATCTCTTGTTACATTCAGCTTCTCAGCGTGTATTTATTCATTTGTGAGTTTTAACGTGTTGCTATTTTAAAGGGTGCTGCCATCATTCCCCCCTAGTTTATAACACCCTCCATGCAGGAAGGTGGCTTTTGGGGGCTTTGTTGCCCACCCCCCATCTGACACAGGGCTCTGCACAGTGATGCCCGCTGTGCAGTTGAGGAGGGGTGGGCATGGGATGGGGGCATGAGGGAGTCCCAGCTTGGCTCTTCCTGGCTTTGAGAGGAAGGCGTCTTCAGCCATCCCCCCAGCCTGGAGTAAGAGCCCCAACCCCATGCCACAGTCCTGGCGATGATGCAGATGATGGTGGTGCCTTGATTTCCAAATGAAGAGAGTTTATCGTTTTTACCCTATTGTAAACAGGATACACACTCAGTGTAAGAAGAAGTGTAAACCTTAATGCTACCACCTAGACATAAGAGCTCTTAATACTTGGGTTTATATCCGCTGATCCGTCAGTTCTGCATGTATATATATATATATATATATATATATACACACACACACACACACATATATACATAGTTTTTTTATTATAATGATCAATAAACCATCTCCATCCTTGGTGTGTGTTTCTCCCTGTATGCCTAGGTAGGATAGCAACCCCTTCCTCCTCTTTCAAGAAACTTCTGAGTATAAAAAACATCCCCCCCTGCCTCCTCCTTCAGCCTTACAGGTGGGCCCTGTCCCTTACTCCGCAGCCCCACCTTCTGCTAAGGGCCCCTGCTCCTTAGCAGGTAAAGAAGCTATCACCCCTGGAGGCCTGGTCCATCCTCCTACAGCCTGCGTGTGGTGGGTGCCAGGAGTCCTGTCGTCAGAGAGAGCGTCTTAGTGGTCCCCAGGTCTTACAAGGCTCCAGGCTGAGCCTCCACCTGCTGGAACCCATTGCAATCTTCCTCCCACAGCTCCGAAAGCTCCCCTCCACCCCCGTTCGTGGCTTGCCCCTCCACTCACTCGGATTGGGACAGTTCAACCCAAGCCTACCTCTGTTTCCCCAGGAAGACGTGGCTGGCTGCATGAACGAATGGCATAACCAAAATTCCAGGAGTCTGTTTAAATTGCTTCTGAAAACAAACACGTAAAAGGCATTTAGCACTTTGTGAGTAGTGTGTAAACAATGCCACTAATTTCAAATGAGGCCTCTGCTGCTCTGGGCGAGCAACCTCCCCCTTTACCTGGGGCACCCCTCCCCGCTCAGTTTCCAAGCCTTTTTGGAGGAGTGGAGAGCACAGAGCGGAGCACCGCATTCCTACCGGCTGCAGGCATCTCACACGACTTCACGACCTTGTGAGGTATAATGAGGAAATAGACAAAAAGGTTAACAAAATGTGCCCGGAATTAGACGGCAAGTGGCAGCGCCAGGATTCAGACCAGGGTCTGGTCGTACACATGGCACCAAGCTGCTTCTGTTTAGAAGTGAACAGACATCATTTCTTTGTGCGTGCTGGGAATTTCCTCCTCTCCAATTAGTCTTCATGAGTTTTTTTCCCCTGTGTACCATGATCCCCACAGCAGTCACCGCCTCACATCTGTAGCCCCCAACGGCTTGGTGTGGTGCCTTGACCTCAGGAGACCTCGCCGCATGCTGGTTGGATCCAAATTGAATAACTTCCTCATTTCCTGGGGCCCTCACATCTATTACCTCATTTGATCGTCACCATCACCCCTGCAAGCGCAGAGGCAGCAGGCACAGGGCAAGGTGGCTGGTAACCGGGGCCAGGAGGGCAAGCTTCGCCCAACAGGCTCCGTTGCACGAGGGCTGGGGGCAGCTTGCAAGGGGAAGAGGTCACTCTTGACAAGGATATTCTGCAGCTGACTATTCGCTCAGCAAACATTGTGGCTCCGTGGTGCAAAATGTGCTCTCGGGTGACCCATTAAATGTACAAAGACTCTGCCAATGGAGTTAAGCACGTGTGGCTCCTGCCCTCAATCACGGGAGGTTGGGCTGAGATGGGCCGCTCTCGAGGAGGCAGCCTGGCTGGTCCAGGGAGCTGGCAGGGGCTGAGGGGGGCAGCGAGCTGATGGCCAGCTCCCAGCTGACCTCCGTGGGCAGCGATGAGGCTCTGAGATTGGATTGTTCTCACATAAAGTCATCCGCCAGAGGCGGCAATAGATGGCTCCCCACCCCCACCCCGTCCACTGCCCTAGGTTCCCCCTCCCGGCTTCAGCCTGCCTCTTCCGCCTTGAGGGCCTATGCAGAGCCCCCTCCCTCTACTTCAGGGAGTTTAGATGTTCTCTCTTCCCAGGCTCTTTGCACCCACTCCAGGCCCCGAAGCTCAGGTCTGGGCCCCACCCCGGGGGCACAAATTCCTGCCCAGTTCAGAGAATCAGGCTCAGTGCCAGGAGCTGCAGACACAGAACAAGACATGGTCCCTTCACACAGAGTCAGGATGGAGTCCTTGTCACCTGAGCGTAAACCCAAACCTCTGTCAGTGTTAGGATGTGTCAAGAGGCAGGGACCGGGCTTTTTCCACTGGGTCCTCCCACCGCCAGCCATCGGCTTGGCGCCCACAGGGGACATCATCACCCATGGGGATCCTTCCTCCTTGGCAGCTGCTAACTCAGGCATCCTACCTCCCAGACCCTTGCTCATCTGCCTCCAGTTTCCCCCAGAATGTCTCTTTGGCTCTTGGCTAGCTTTGGGGGATCCTGCTTCCCAGACAGAATCTAGTTTCTGGCTGTCTTCCCCTTCTCCACAGTTCTTTTGTGAATAGGGACCTAGAAAGTCTTGGGATGGAGTTTGTGGGTGGAGGAAGGGACCAGAGTCATACCCAAGAGCCTGGAGACCATGGCTGTGTTTTCTAGCTCACCCCAGAGCTCCCCTGGGCTCACCCGCAGCCCTACCCCGGGCTCATCCTGCCCATTTGAAGGACCACTGGATTGGAAATAACAGGCCGCCGGCCAGCCCTCTCCTTCCCCTAGGGACACATCTGGTGCCCACCTCTCACCCTCCCAAAGGGACACAGTCAGGCAGGGAGACGGAAGGGAGCAGGGAGCAAAGCAGACCAAGGAAAGCAATTAAAGAGCTGGTCTCAGGGTTAGAGGCTGGGGGCAGGCTTGAGCGGCCCCTGGCTGGCTGGGGAGGCAGGAGTAGAGCAAGGGCCCGAGATTATTAGCCCCAACACAGCAGCCTGGCCCCTGGGTCTGTGAAGGTGAATGAGCTGATGCCTCCAACGGCTGAGGGGCTGGGGAAGAGAAGGAGGAGGAGTCCAGGGGTTCAGCCAGGAACCCGTCTGCAGCCACAGGAGTCGGGAGCTTCTAACCGACAGAGCTGGACTGGACACAGGCTCAGGATCAGAGAAGGAACCTCCCCTGGCTTGAGGCAGCCATCCTCCAACCATCCTCCAACAGAAAGGGGAGACCCCTGCCCTCAGGGAGCTCCTAGCTGACAGTGAACCATGGGTTCTCCCATTAGGTGGCTCCCATCCAAGGGGAAAGGGTGGCTCCTGTCCTGTGGGTGCCTGAGTCTGAAGGGGGAGACAGACCCTACCCTTAGGCGCATCCCAGTCTGATGGGAAAACATAGGGCTAGCATCGGGAGGACCCCATCTTCAGGGGGCCTTGTCCTTGGGAAGCCTCAGGCTAAAGTGCAGAAGAGACTCGCACCCATGGGAGATGTTGACACACCAAGAGGTTCTCAAGCCAATGGAGCTGTGGGTCTCAAGCCCACAAGGGTTGGGGAAGGGCAAGGCTGGAGCGACAGGGCCCACTGTGGGAGTCAGGGAGGAAAGCAAGCAGGCTGGGGGACAGCCTGTACTCGGAGTCTCCTCCAGAACAGCAGGACATAACTCTCACATGTCCCCTGGGAGGCCCAAAGCCACAAACAACTAGTGATCTGGGGGCAAAGGGTGCTGCCCCCTCCCCACATCCTGTCCACACTGCCAGGTAACTGCCCTTTGCAGGGGGGGCCTGCCCACATGCTGTCCCTGCCTCAACCCCAATGGAGTCAACAGGACATGGCCTCTCCCCCTGGAAGACCCAGCTCCCAGCCCCCCGGGTCCACCCCATCACAGATGTGCGAACATGGAGACAGGTAAAGCACCTGCTAGGTGTTATTAAATGGAAGCTAGGATTTGTCGAGCACGTGCTCTGTCCGGCTTTCACTGATTTTTATCTCACAACTACCTTGGAAGTAGGTATGTCTAGACCTCATTTTACAGATGGGGAAACGGAGACTCAGAGAAGGTTCCTGAGTCATCCAAGATCATACAGCTATTGAGTGGCCATGGCCTTGCTCTCTCCCCTAGACGGCACTGCCATAGCAGTCAGAGGCAATTCTAGTGAGCCCTCTAAGTGATGCACATTTGGGTTTTAGAAAGCCTGCCTAGTGCTGTGAGACCAACTTTCTTCCTGCCTCCAAAGGGCTATGTCCACCAGGCCACTCGGACCTGGTCAGCTCAGCACTGCCATCTAGTGGCCAGTTTCCTTCCTCAGAGATGGGTCACCGAGTGGATGGACTGGTCAGAGATCCATGTTCTCTCCATCCCACTCACTCTTACTGACCACCATGTTGTGCCAGGCACTGGGAGAGTGGCAGGAGCACAAGCGGAGTCAGTGGGCAGCAGTCAAGGGACAAAAGGGCCCCTTGAATTAGAGGCTGGCAGGTTTGGAAAACACTGGGCACCTTGTGTGCAGGTTGAGGCCGGGTGACGTGTTGATCTATCCTGGGATCAAGTTGGGTCTCGTAGGCAGGAGGGCATCCTGGCAAGTTCTGACGTAGAAGATGGGCACAGGGAGTGGGAGGTCATCTTGTCCCCAACTCGGCTTGAAGTGGGGCACAGCTTGGCTGAAGGCCGTGTGGAAGGGGGTCCAGGCATCC